GCTAATAGTTTAAATTGGCATCTCCCTGAACTCTGGGCATGCTAGACAATCTCTTTATAACTGAGCTACATCTTTAGCTCTTTTTCAAAGTTTTATTTTGAGACAAAGTCTTGCCAAATTGCCCAGGCTGGGCTTGGATTTGTGGACCTTTTGCCTCAGCCCCCAGAGTAGCCGGGATTATAGGCATTGTAGGTATTAGGCACCACAGCCAGCTCTTAAGTTTAATCCTTTTCTTTTGTAATTACATGTTTGTAATACATGATGATTATATTCCTTATGGGGAACGGTACAAGTACGTAACACATCTTAATGCTCTTTTTCATGCCTTCCTCCTTCTCACCCTTCTCCTTCCCTCTGTTCGTCCCCTTCCCTTTGGCAAAAGACCTGGCTCTCTTTTTCTTATGTAAGTATCTCTTAAATGGAGAGATATGTAAGGCTAGAATATTTGGTAGATGCATAAGTTAGTTTGGAAAGACAAAAATATTATTAGTCTAATTGGAAAGTTCTGTTCATCTCACTTTAGTTGTAACAAAAACATGACACACAAAAAATTTTAATACTCATTAAAAATAAGCCCTTTTCACATGAGAGAAATAAGATGTTTAATCTCTAGTTTGTGCTCAAACTCTGCTAGTTACTGATACCACAAGCTTAATCAAGTTGGTCAAGCTCTTTTAAGTTTTGCTTCTTCATTTGTAAAGTAGGGCTAATAGTGCAGGCAAAAGAGGTAGCAGAGATCGAATGTGACTGCATGTAAAAACATGGAGTATGCACGTTCAGTAAACGACAGTTCTTATGGAACCTACAGCTAGTTCACTGAGCACACTTTCACATGTTTTTACTTTATTTTTTTTTTTTTTTGACATTCCTGGGGATGGAATGCAAGGCCTTCCTTGTACAAGCAAGGTAAGTGCTCTGCCCCAGAGCTACATCCCTAGCTTATCCCTCGTTTTTTTTTCCGCTAGGAGTGCTAGGGATAAATCTGACATGTATTTCTACAGTGAAATCGTTGGTATTTAAGGTGTTTATTATAAGCTGATATGATTTATGAATGTTCATTTTCAAGCTTTGTTTGGTTTTGTTTTTTGGGTACTGGGGATTAAACTCAGAACCTTGTGCTTTCGAGGCAGGCGGGGTACCACTGAGCTTACATCCCCAGCGCTTTTTTTTTTTTTTTTGAGGCAGGGTCTCGCTCTGTAGTTCAGGCTGGCCTTAAACTCATCATGCAGCCTTGAACTCATAGTGATCCTCCTGCCTCATCTCCCATGCGCTGGGATTACAGGTGTCCACCACCACACCCAGCCAAGTTAATTTTCAAGCATGTGTTCTTATTCAAAATTTACCACCCTTGAAGATCTAGACTGATTGAAGCCAATATCATTAAAGAATATTTAGTGTCTGTTTTCTCTTTTAATCCTGCCATGAGGCACTTCTAATAGCAGTGTATTCTGAATATTTTCCATATTAGGAATTACTGTTCCAGTAGAATTGCAAAATAATTTTGTTTATATAACCAGTTCATTCTGAATATGCTGTTTAAGATGGTTGATGTTTGAGGGGAAGTATAAGAAAAGCTATTTATTTGCAAATATAAAGTCTAGGCCAGATGGGGTTTTTTTAAGCTCACCATTTATTCATAGAGTGTCACCAGTAACAATTATTTTAATTATAGCCCAGCCATTCTTTTTGTTTTCAGTAGAAGGACTTGGTATATTTTCTTTGGGCATGAGAGCAATTTGCTAATTGAATTGGGAAATTAAATGTAGTTGAAAAGCTGTATTTTTTAAATTTAAAAAATCTTCATTTAAAAAAAAAAACACTTCATCTTTTCGAGCAGGCATCAGGCCCTAGCACCAAAGAATAATTTAGTTACCTAATTAAAAATTCTTAATCATATTTTGTTACTGGAGATTGAACTCAGGGCCTTCACGTTGAGCTACATCCCCAGACCTTTGTTTATTTTTAATTTGGAAACACAGTTTCACTAAGTCACTAAGTTGCCTGGGCTGAGTTCAAACTTGAGATCCTTCAGCCTCAGCCTCTGAGAGTGCTAAGATTACCGGTGTGTGTGCCCACAATCAGGTGAAATTACTCATCATTTCATACTGACATTATGGCAATGAGGGCAGACATGACCTTCAAAGAACAGTTTGAAGAAGACACATTGCTATGTGTTCTAAATCAGTTGCCCAATCTATTTAGAAACCCCTAGCTTTTAGTGATACTTTAATTACTGAGACTGACCCTGACCTCGCTTTAGCCTACTTGCTCTTCAACCATGGAATGAAGGCAAACCCCACTAACCATCATTTCTTGCTCGTTTTATCCAAGTGCCCTGATGTAGTAAGTAGGACTTTGGTATTAGGCATAGGTCCAGGACCTCTGCTCTAAGCCCTTACAGAAACAAAAAAGGACAAATCTTATGTGTCACACCTCCTGACCTAAGAGTTTCCCCTTGACTGGCATCTCCTGTGCTCCTCAGTTTGGTCGCATTGTCTCTTATTCTCCATCCATGGGCCAGAAGACCAGAAGGCAGTTGCAAAAGAAAGAAAGACCTAGAAAAGATCCCTAAGCAAGACTGAGGGCCTAATGGAAAAGAGCATCATCCTTTACTTCAGACCCCGGGGCAGGCTTCCTTGAAACAAAGATTTTGAATGAGGCACGGAGAGTGAACATAGAATTTTATCCATGAATTAAGGCAAGAGGGGCAGGAGGGGTCAAAACAAAATGTTGATCCATCCACACAACTATAATTTCTCATATTCTGTCTCTTTGTGTCCTCTTTCAAAAAATTGTCCAAGCTCATTGCTACCATCATAGATAAGATGGAGTCACCTGATAAGGCTCATGTCCCTTAACAGTGGGCTTCCAGAGCCAAACACCCTGCTCAAGCCAAGCAGAAGCCAAGGTAGGGACCCACACAGAGCCCAAGTGGCACATTCTGTGCCTTTCCAGAGGACTTCAGGAGCTTCTGTCAGCACCCACTTATTTGTACTTGCGATATCATTTGATTTATTACTTGCATTTGTTTCTTGAATTTACAGACTCAAAATTCATATCACAAAGATTAGTAGTATTGCCACTCTGGGGCTCATTCTTAGAACTTCTCTTGATAGGACTTTTTTTCTAAGTTAAAACAGCTCCTTAAGCTAGGCACAGTGACATACACCTGTAGTCCCAGTTACTCAGAAGGCTGAAGCAGGAGGATCACAATTTCAAGACCAGCCTGGGTAATTTAGCAATTCTCTGTCTCAAAAAATAAAGGCCAAGGATTTAGCTCAGTGGGAGAGCACCCCTGAGCTTCATCCTCAGTATTATAAAAACAAAGACCGAGCACCTTAGCTTACCTGGGCATGCACAGGGCCTAGGGTCAATCTTTAACACTGAAAAAACCCCAGAAAACAACCCTTCTGTGGTGGCTGGTCCAGTGGCCTGTGCCTACAGTCTCAGCTACTCTGTGGAGGCTGGGGTAAAAGAATTGCTTGAGTCTTGGATTTAGGACCAAGATGGACAACATAGTCACACCTCATGTCAAACAAAAAAACTCCTATGGCAGGTGAATTCATTGTTAGTAAATGGATGACTTTAATTTATGGAGAAATACTGACTGAATCTATAAGCTCTTTCTCCCTTCTACAATTTAATAAAAATAGAATACCAATGATACATCTTTAGTAGTAGTAGTTATGTACTCATTAAAATTACTTTGTTTTCCATCTCTTGAGTTTTAGAAGCTTACTAGGTTTTCTTCCCTTCTCTGTTTCAGCAGGGTGCTTGTAATCATTGTTCCCTGTTGTATGAAGGAGTTCTTGATATTGTTGCTTTCTAAAGAGAGATTTAAAAGACTATTTCTTTACATATTTGTACTTGGCATTTTACTGTTACTGAAGTGCTTTCATTTTCTCAGAACAAGGACACCTGAAATACGTATTTCCTATAAAAAGAATAAATTGCTGGCTTATTGATTTTTTTGTTTTTCCGAAAATGATTTCTCTAGATCCATGTTCAGAGAAGCTAAGTAGCAGACTATCTGCAATTATTTGGCCCTAAAAGCCCTGAGTTATTAAAAGAACTAATAGAATCTATAATACTTATACATAGCACATTATCAGAGATTACTGACAGTAACTGAAAATCACATTAAGTATTTTATGCATTGATCAGATAAATGACATAACAGGCAGTCCTCAGCGTAGAGTCATCTGACTCAGGGAAGTCACTGTCACCCACAGTGTTGGGCCCACAATGCCCATCTATGTCATCACCTGTAGCTTGAAGTCAGCAGCCCACTCACAAGTCAACGCCTCTGAATGACTGTTTCCTTTCCCACTTTGGAGTCTTTTATCTCCTAAATGGCAAAGGTTTTTTGCTTTTAGATAAGAAGGGCAAGGAGGAAAGAGATGGCCCAGTGAAACCTAGAAGCTAGGATATAGAGAGGACTAGCGGTGGGGAACTGAAGAAGAGTTTGACAGCGAACTTCTTCCATGAAGGGTCAAATCATAAATATGTTAGGCTTTATGGTCTATTGCAATTATTCATTCCCACCACTCTAGGCCAAAAGCAGCCCTGCATGATAAGTAGATGAAGGGCTTAACTTGTGACCAATTAAATTTTATTTATAAAAATAAACCCAGCACTAATAATTAAGCAAGACAGGCTATAAGTTATCATTTTACAAACAACTTTGGGACGGTTCAGCTACAAAGCAAAGTAGTTAAAGGAAGTCTTCTGATGTCCAGTCTGCTGCACCCTGTTCACACCACCTGTCCCTGAGTCAGTTCAGGGGTCGAGAAAAGAAGTTGTGGGTTTAAACTTCTGTATTTGTCAGTCACCTGCATGGAAGTGAAAGTTAGATTTTGATAATTGTGATTTTTAAAAAATAAGAATTGGGTATACTTATAAGATTCAAATTCTCTGTTAGCCTTTTTTGCAGTTACATGTAAAATATCTTTGGAACATCCCACCTTAATACAACAACTGGTTCTTACAATTTTTGACAGGTTGTTCCTGCTGAAGGACTGGTGTCTATATTAAAGAAGAGGAATGATTCTGTAGGAGATCATCCTGCCCAAATGCACCAGAAACCATCTAAGCGAAGAGTAAGATTCCAAGAAATAGATGATAATTTGGATCAAGGTAAAATGCTCAGCCCTGCGCCTTCAGTTTGCTGAACAAATGAATTTCTTGTACTCTGGAAGGCTGAGGCTATATGATTGTTAACACGATTTGTAAAAGAACATTTGAATTTAGTTGCTTTATTGTCTCAGAAAGAAACATAAAATCAAACCATCATCTTAAATTATTTTGAAGCATTTTTCCTGAAATAAGTGATCAAGTTGCAAAATTCAGTTCATGGTCTCCCTGTCCTATAGGTAGCCTCAGTGTGGAGAGCTCATTTGTTCCTTAATCCAGTAGTTCTCTTCTTTTTTGTTTTTTAATGAGTTTGCTAGTTTTGTTTTATTTTCAGTGGCCAACTAATATTCTTCCTTTATGGTGGAATATTTATGAATTGCAAATATGTCCTCTTCAGTGATTTCTTCTTTCTCTATTTTTAAATGTAAATCACAGAGCCATATGAGTATATAATTGCATTTGTTTAAAAGTCCTAAAATCATTTATGTTTGACCTGGAAGGATACACACCAACTTTAACAGTATTTACCTCTGGAATGGGAGAATTAGATTCTTAGATACTTTTGTGCTTGAATTTTTACAGGGAGACTTTATTCCATGTATTACTGTAAAAGCTTCTGAGGGGCCGAGGGTCTCTTTAGGCCACTTTTGTTTTGTTTTTGGTACCGGGGATTGAACTCGGGACCTTGCACTTGCAAGGCAGGTGATTGTACCACTGAGCAAAATCCCTGGCCGGGCCAAGGGTATAGCTCAGTGGTACCGCTGCTACCTGGCAAGTGTAAGGTCTTGAGTTCGATCCTCAGTACCAAAAAAAAAAAGCTTCCAAGTAAGGTGTATGGTCTCTTTGTATAGATTAGGTTTTATAAAATGTTTCTTATCATAAAAATAATATATGCTAATCACAAAAGAATTCAAAGAGTAATGTAAAATGAAAGGTATAAGTCCCACAGCTCTTCCATTCTCCTTCCCTGAGCACTGGGTGAAGTTTTTTATTCTCTTAAGATGTGTTCTGTGTATATGTGTGCATATCTATGTGTACACACACTGACACATAAGCATGTCTTGTTTTTTTAAATACAAATGAGTTCCTTATACTATTAGATAACATTTTAAAATTTTGATCAAGAATCATGTACATCTTTCTGTGAGATAACATATTAAATTACTTCATTCTGTTAAATAATTGTAGTGTTCCATTACATAAATGTCCCATAATCAAACTATTCCATTTTAACTGGACTAACAGGGTTGTTCCCAGATTTTTGTTATAACAAACTCTGCTGCGGTGACCAAGCTTATAGATACGATTTTGTGTGTGGCAGAATTCTGTAGAACAGTTCCTAAAAGTGGACTTGGTGTGCTGAACATTGAGACCACACGTCCCAGTGGGCCTGAGACAGTCCTGGCTTGCATCTGTTTGTCTCAGTGTTGCATTCAATTAACACTATTTCATGTTCTAAAGTGTCAGTCTGGAGAATAATTCATTTTAAACTTCGGTAGATGTTGCCAAGTTACTTTCCCTGAAGGTTTCCACACATCCTTCTTGTGCTGCAGATGATAAAACTGTTCAGCCTTTCTAAAGTATTTTTTTATTTTTCTTAAATTATGAGTGATCATTGACATTTCCAACCAAAGAATGGTTATTTTCCTCAATATCGAAAGACTGATATGGATGGATATTTTTATAAAGACAAATGTATCAGGGCCAGGGATTTAGCTCAGCGGTTTCTCCGCCTGCTGCTCAAGCTCGAGGACCCGAGTTCAATCCCCGGTACCAAAAAAAAAAACAACAACAAAAAAACACAAACCTATCAGAGTTGCTAACTAGAACTAAAAGAAATCAGTATGCTAGCCAGAACTTCACTACTGCACTCAATAAAAATAGTGACTATCACTAGGATGCACATAAGATCCACCATGGAGGGCATTTTTATTCTTGAATATAAAATTGACCTTATTTAAGGTAGTCCCATGATGTGAACTCCCAAGATACTGTATAGTGCGGCTGTAGTGGTAAAAATAATGACCACGCGCATGTGAGAGGAGTGCTGCCATTTTTCTTCTTTCTCATGGAGTGATATGCATTATACAGATTAGCTGATTTTCATTTTGGCATTCACAAGCTTTGCTGGTGTGAATCTTTGTAGTAGCTGATCTGCAGATCTTTGCTGAGTCCTTGGCGGCACATGTTCTCTGGCTGTGTGTCCTGATCTCGAGGACTAACATTACCATTGTCTTAATCAGCGAGAAGACAGCAGGCACTAGGATTTCCATTTTGATAAAAATCAACCTCTCTCTGTTCTCATGTTTGCAGATGAAGTCGGAGGTGGCTCCTGTATTTTATTGATCTTGCTATGCATAGCAACAGTTTTCCTTAGCGTTGGAGGAACTGCATTATATTGCACTGTGGGGGACATGGAGTCACCTGTTTGTACAGACTTTGCAGACAACATGGACTTCTATTACACAAAGCTCCTGCAGGGAATGGCAGAACTTAAACACTGGGTCTACCTCTCCTAGCACCATTCAAGAGGACAAGCATGTTGGCAGTGAGAGTGAAAGATGTGAAACTTGCTCAGCAGCTTTTATTTCAGGAGTTCTGAAACATCCCCCCTTTTCTTCCAGCAAGGACCCAAGGACATCAAAAACAGCCACTTTTTAAGTGACGACCAGAGGAACTTTCTCAGAATAACCCACATGACAAGGCAAATATTGATCTAAGCATTGTGGACTGTGGAAGTGGTCTTTGGGGAGTGAGTGTGTTCATTTCCCCCTCACTGCTTCCTAGTGTAATGAGTACACTGAGGGGAATATGCAGGGCAGTCTTGGAAATGCACTATTTTTAGCTACTTTATCAAGCCAAAAGTGAAAGGACACTTCTGTTTTACATCTCTCAGTCCTTAGGCATTGCTTCCAGCCATCACGCAATAAGTTGTTTATGACCAACAGTGGTTAATTTATGATTTCAGTGTTATTTTTAGTTAACTTTGAGAGCTGTGTAATTTAGGCTTCTTGCATTATTTCCAGATTCTGTTCTTCATTTGTGTGTGTGCGTGTGCTTTAAGCAATTATCTGAAGCAAATATCCAACATAGAATAACAAATTATCTTTATTCTTTTAACTTTACTATGATGTGCAGGCACAAATCTTTGAAGAAAGTTTAATTGTGGAATAGATGAACTATAGAAATGTTGGCCCCGAAATGAAAAACTGTGACAGATATGTGGCAGTTAACTTGATTGGGTATCGAGAAATTAATCACAGGCCTGAAGGCAAATTAAAGAGCTCTCCCTGAGTCTCAGACCACAGTTTCACAATGGATTCAGTGCTTCCTGAAGTGATGAATGCTGGACTCAATTCAGCAAACTCTTATTGAGCACCTATCAAGGTCTAAGAATCTAAAAACCAGAATATGAACATAAATAAGATATAATTCCTGCTATATATGCTTTAATTCTGGTCTTATGTAAAGTAAAGCAGTACTTTGGCATGCAAATCAGTCTTTGCAGATCATGCATTCAGATGTTTTGGTTGTGCATTCATATCATGGGCGTGATATGGACCACATAGTGGGGTCATTAAGCAGAAATTCAGTCATACCTTAAATAGGCAAATGTCTAGTTTTTGTTTAAGTCTGTCAGTTAGGTGACCTTTCCTTATTTAAGGTACAGTGGTCTAATATTTGGGAAGCCTTGCTTTGACTTTTTTTATATTGTAGATGGCATTAAAAAAAAAACATAAATTATAATTTTTTAGCAAGTGATCATTATTTCCTGTTTCTCTGTTAGGTTCATTTGAAAGAAAAAGGCAGGCATTGATTTCTAGTTGTTACTGGCTGGTACAGTATCTCCTTTTGTGCTTTTGCTTATTTATCTAGACATAAAATTTAAAGGGCTTTTTATATAAGTTGAAAGTGTGTTGCTGAGCATGTATTTGGTTATTATCCCAGTGCTAGATATTTAATTATTATGTACTTAGTGTTTTGATTTTCTACAATTTCAGTTCAGTGTGTTTTTAGGCTTGTTTATTTTTAAATTGATGTTTCATTTTCACTTATTTGTTTGATTTTTTTCTTTTTGGTACCAAGGATCAAACTCGGGTCCTTGCACTTGCACAGCAGGCGGCGAAACCACTGAGCTAAATCACGGCCCTCATTTTCACTTATAATAATACTGTTTGACTTGTCTCTATCATGTCACCACAAACTGTAATATTTTCAATGGTTATAGATCAAAGATATTTATTTAGAAGTGTACAAGACAATGAAATTTAAATTCCTTATACTTAAGGCTGATTTTCTTAGAAGATTATTTTAATGTTCTATTATAAATTTTAAGAATTTATACTCAAACTGTATGTAAAATATGTAACATGTCCACGGTACTATCGTAAGTGGTTCTATAAAAGACCCTCACAAGTTCTACTGTAAGGGCCCCCTCGTTATAGACAAACTTTTTCTCCTTTACCCTCGTAATTTCTAGTTGCAAGAATTCGGTGATCCTTTTTTCTGTTTACTTTATGTCAAAAAGTTAAAATTTCCCTCCTGTTTACTGTCAGTTGTATATAATGTCTGGTGTTGTATTTTCCTATATATACCACCCAGCCAGTTTTTCTGGAACCCAAGATTTCCTGGGAAGCTTCACATTGGAGTGAAAGAATGGAGGTTCCCTGGCTAATCAGGGGCCCAGCTGTGTCTCGAGGCCATGGGTGAGCACACCACGTCTGGGGACAGTGTGAGCTCAGGAGCACAGTGATGCCTTGACTTAAAATAGGCATGAAGTCTCACCCAGAAAATTTAGTGCAACTTTTTAAAATGTAATAGTCATTTATTGCATGAATTAGAGTAATTCTACCTGATGATGAAAGGATTGTTATCTCACGCATAAAAATATTCCAGTTTTACCAAAATGTAATTTCTTCTCGAAAGTAACGACAGCTATTTGTAACTAACCTTCCTTAAGAACTGTATTTGAGGGTATCAAATCAAGCTTGTAATTTAAAGTCTGTACCAACAAAGTGTCTTAGAGAGTTTATTTGAACTTCTAGGTGTTGAGAAAAATTGCTTTAAAGCAAAAATAATTTCAGGAGTTCGTCTTACCCCAAGTAGACAGCCTTCCATTTGGGGAACTCTAATAGGTCCCTAAGTAAGAGCTCCCCTCCTAAAATACCACCCCCCATCTGCCTGGCATAGCTGAATTCACTCTAAAAATACATTATTTTAGATTGGAAAATCAAAATCCTCTGGGAGGTTTATTTTCTCAAGCTATGAATTTGCGTAATAAATGTGCAGAGAATTCAAATTTTGAAGGTGGGCCTTATTTCTAAAGACAGGTATGAATTTAATCTTGCTGGAATGGCAGGAAGATAAAGAACGAGCGTAGCATAGAGGAAGTGGTAGGAGTTAAGAAGAAAAAGAGAGAAGGTGGAAAAGAGCAAAGTAATCCTTTAGCTTTTAATTGTTTTGCTGACCTCCCAACACAAAGAGAAACTGAATTTTTAACTTTCTAATTACATGAACTGTATAATTCTGTTCATTTCTTTGGGCTCAATTATTATTAACTCGTATTTGTATAATACTTTTATGCAGTGTTTGTAGTGTTTTAGTATTTATTCACTTAGTGCCTAGCAAAGTAAGGCTATATCCCTCAAATCCAAGTCTTAATAACTCCCAAACCTATTATCTTTTTATCCTATCATTTTACCTTCATCTTTAAAAAGAATAAGAATGAGGCTGAGGCAGGAGGATCACCTGAGCCCAGAAATTTGAGAAGCACTTGGGCAATGTAACAACAAAAAAAAGAGAAACAGCAATGTATTCCCCCCAAAAAAGAATAGAATGAATCTAGGATTTGTGACACAAATTCTAGTGTCATCTGCTGTCTTAATAACATCAAAGATGAGCATTTGAGTCTCATATACTGACCGAAAAGCAACAGTAAATTAAGATATTCCTTGTGGAATTCTAATACTACTTAAGCTCCTTGGGTTTAGGCTACTGAAAGACAAGGTACAGCAATTCCAGTCATCTCTTTGCCCTGATTAAAGAAGAGTTACTCCTGAACACAGCCTTGTGTCTTGTCACCCTGAGATCAGTGCAGAACCATGAGCAACAGTGTTGGTCACTGTCTGCACTTTCAGAGACATCAGAATGCCTACCATGTACCTCACACTGAGGCTGCAGACAAGGCATGGTACCAGCTTAAAGGGTTAGCATCTGGGAAGGGAAATGTATTTGCAAAGAGGAAAAACAGAGAAGAAACTGCAGAGCATATTACTCATGGCAGTGGAAAGTCATGTTCATTCTTTCCAACCATGTCATGCACTTTTAGGAATAAAAGTAAAGTTCTATCTAGGTCACCTGCACAGCAACATGATAGGAAACTTGACAGGAATCTTTTCTCACAGCCAAAGCCCTAGCAATTAGTACTTTTCATTTCTAGTTAGCACTTGTAGCATTAATAGATGGCAGGTTTTCCAGCAGTGGAAATCATCTTTGCAAGAGTCTTCTTCAAAATTGAAAGTCTGAATTGCCCTGAAGTGAAAATTTTCTCACCAAAAAGACGGCAGTCCAAGATGGCTACACCAGTAAGTTCTGTCAGTCATTTAAGTAAAGCATAATACCCATCCTACCTACAAAGTACTCAAGAGAGACTATCATTCTTTTCATGAGACCGGAATTACTCTGATACCAAAGCAGACAGTAAGAAAATCAGTATCTGTTGAACATAGACACAAAATTCCTTAGGAGCTGGGAATGTAGCTCAGTGGTAGAATGGTTGCCTAGGGTGCATGAGGTCCTCAATTTGATGGCCCAACACCCCCCAAACACACACACATACACACACACACACGCAAACATGCACACACAGATTTTTTTAAAACTAGACAATAGGGGCCAGGGATTTAGCTCAGTGGTTCCACTGCCTGCCTTACAAGTGCAAGGTCTGGAGTTTGATCCCCGGTACCAAAAAAAACCAAAACTAGACAATAGGCCGGGGGTTTAGCTCAGTGGCATTCCGCCTGCCTCACAAATCCGAGGTCCTGAGTTCAATTCCCCATACCAAAAAAAAACTAGACAATAATTCTTTACATAGTACATCAGTTCTAAAAATATGTAAAAAAGATAATACTCTCATGATTAAATGAGATTTACCCCAGGAATACAGTGAGTTTAATATTCTAAATTCATTCAGTGTAATTATTTTAACAAACTAAAAAATCCTTATGATCATATCAATATACAGTAATTTAATGTTCCTTTCATATTAAAAACTCAGCAAACTGGAACTAGAAGTGAACTTTCTCAACTTGATAAAGGCATTAATGAGACACTTAGAGCTAATAGTAAATATTTAGTGGAGAAAGACCAAGAGATTTTCTTCCTAAAATCAGGAAAATGGCAAGGACCATCCCCCCCTTACCAGGGATTGAACTCAGGACCTTGGACTTGCAAGGCAGGCACGGTGCCACTGAGCTAAATCCTCAGCCCTGGCAAGACCGTTTCTATTCAGTATTATAGTGGAGGTATTGTAGCAGAAAAAGAAAGAGATCCCAATTAGAAAACTTCCCGTGACAAAATTGTTCATGAAGAGAATCCCAAAACATTTACAAAATGCAACTAGAATAAGTGAGTTTACCAAGGTTACAGGATGTAAGATCAATATACAAAATTTCAACCAGGGATTTATCTTGGTTCCACCACCTACCTTGCAAGTGCAAGGTACCACATTTGATCCCTGGTACCAAAAAAAAAAAAAATTCAGTTCTACAAACTGTTGATGAACCAGTGGAAAATAAAAAATTTACAAGAAAAATTTTCATTTAAAGCAGCAGTTTTAGGAACAAAAATATGAAATACTTATGAACAAGTTTAACAAAATGGCAAAACCTGTACATTGAAGTTGATAAAGACATTGCTGAGAGAAAAGATAACCTCAATGAAGAAAAAAATATATTCTGTTCATGAAGTGGAAGATTCAGTATTGTTAAGATATCAAGTTTTCTCCAAATCAGTCTGGACACAATTCCAACCAAAATCCCAGCAATTTTTAGATATTGTTTAATTTTAAAATGGGGAGATGCAGGTGACCTAGAAGATAGCCAATGAAATTGTAAAAACAAAATTGGAAGACTTCTATTTCCTGTTTTGAAGACATAATGCTACAGTAATCAAACTAATATAGTGAAAAGATAGTTCAGAAATAAAACTACGTGTATACATTCAAATGATCTACAAAAGAGCCAAGGCAATTCAATGGGGGAAAGGGAAGTCTTTCAGCAAATAATGCTGGGAAGGGGCTGGAGGTTTAGCTCAGTGGTTCCACCACCTGCCTCGAAAGCACAAGGACCCGAGTTCAATCCCCATACCAAAACAAATAATAATAATAATGCTGGAAAAAACTGCATATCCAATTGAGAAACATGAAGATAGACTTCTACCTCACACATGACAAACAAAAATTTGAAACATAAAGTATAAAACAAAAACAGCTAGAAAATGTAGGAGAAAATCTTGTAACCTTTAAATCAACAAATATTTCTTAGCACATAAAAGGAAAAAGATCAATAAACTAGACTTTTAAAACATGCTTTCCAAAGGACATGGCTAGGAAAATGAAAAAACAAACTAATAATTGGGAGAAAATATTTACAACACATTTAAATGGATAAGACCTATAGCCAGAATAGGTAGAGATCTCATACAATTCAATATTTTGACAAATAATTTTAAAGTGCTGAAGACTCCGTATAAAATAGAATATGTCAATGGCCAGTGAGCACATGAAAAGATGCTGAGTATTAATAGTCACCAAGAAAATGGAAATTAATGAGCCACTGCTGTGCACCCACTAGAATGACTAAAAAGATTGACCCTACTCCCCAGTAATGCATAGGTAGTTCAGCATAAGAAAATCAGTGTAACATTGGTAGCACAAGGGGAAAAACCCCACATGATTATCTTAATGGATGTGGAAAAGACCGTTAACATGACAAAAACTCAAACTTACCTAAAAACAAACTAGGAATAGAAGGGTATTTCTTCAGCATGACAAAGGGCACTTAGGAAAAACACACAACTAATATAATAATGGTGAAAGACTGAATGTAGTGAGTGGCATATGCCTGTAATTCCAGCTATTCAGGAGGCTGATGCAGGAGGATTGCAAGTTTAAAGCCAGCCTGAGCAACTTAACAAGATCTTGTCTCAAATTATTTGAGTGTGTGTGTATGCTTTCCTCTAGAAAATTAATTCTCAAAATTTTTTAAGGCTGGGGAAAGATGTCAGAACTATCCAAAATAATCTTCACAGTTTCCACCAAAGTTGCAACCATTTTTGTTTTTGTTTGTTTTTTTGAGGAGTCATCTAGTTTATATGGCATTTCAGGGGGACCCAAGTAGCCAAAACAGCCTGGAAAAAGAAAAGCAAAGCTGGAAGGCCCATGCTTCCCAATTTTAAACCTTATTACCATAGTACAATAATCACATCAGTGTGATACTGCCATAAGGACAGACAGACAAGAGAATTCAGAGTGCAGAAAAAATCTGCCCAGGGTATTTTTGTTTTGTTTTGTTTTTGGTACTGGGGATCAAACTCAGGACCTTGCGCTTTTGAGGCAGGCGGTGGAACCACTGAGCTAAATCCACGGCCCTACCCAGGGTATTTTTGACAAGGGTGCCAAGTCCGTCCAATGGGGGAAAGAATACTGTCCTCAACAGGTGGTGCTGAGTCAACAGAATTTTCACACGCATATGAAGTTGGACCCCTGCTTCACACCACACACAAAAAATTCAAAATGAATCAACAACTTAGATGAGTTAAATCCATAAAACTCTCTAAAGAAAAAAATAGGGCTAAATCTCCATAACTTAATTTGCCAGTGGATTCTTAACATATGGCACTAAAAAGACAAACAATGAAAGAAATTGATGATCAGAAAATTTTAAAAAATTGTACATCAAAAAACATTATGAAGAAAAGAATCTAAAGAATAGGGAAAGTGCACATCATATATCTGCTAAGGGTTTAATATTTAGAATACATAAAGTACTTCTAAAACTCAATTTTAAAAAACCCAATTTAAAAATAGACAAAACACTGATATATACATTTCTCCAAAAAGATATACAAATGGATAATAAAAAGTTCATACATTGGTCAATATGGAAATAAGTCAAAACCACATTGAGATTAATGAATTGGATAAATCTTGAAAACATGCTAAATGTCACAAATCAGACACAAAAGAACAAATATATGGTTCCATTTATATGAACTATCTAAGGAAAATTCAGAGATAAAAAGTAAATGAGGTTATGGGGTATGGGTAAAGTGAGAAGTTATTGCTTAATGGTTACAATATTTTTGTTTGGAGTGGTGAAAAGTTTAGAAGTGTATATTGGTGATGGTTGCACAACATTGAATAAGCTTAAAGCCACTTAAAGATGGTTAAGCTGAGTGTGGTGGCATACACCTCTAATCCCACCACTTTGAGAGGCTGAGGCAGGAGGATAGCAAGTTCAAGTCCTGCCTGGGAAATTTAGTGAGATATTATCTCAAAAGAAAATACAAAAGGGGCTGGGTATATAGCACAATAGTAGGGTGCCCTTGGTTCAGTCCCCAATACTATAAAAAAAGTTTCTTTTTATTATATGTATTTTAACACACCACCACGTGTTAAAGAGGATGTGGAAAAATCAAATTCTCATCCACAGCTAGTGTAAGAATATGAAATGGTACAACCTTTAGGCAGTTTCTTGTGAAGATGAATATACCAACACCTGACTCAACAGTTCCACACCAAGGTTCTTACCTTAGAGAAATGAAAATGAGTCCACACAAAAACAATTACCCAAATTTGTTTTGTTTTGTTTTCTGAGACAGGGTCGTACTGGGCAGTTCAGGCTGACCTTAACTCGCTATGCAGCCCAGGCTGGCCTGGAACTCACAGTGATCTGAGTGCTGGGGTTATAGGTGTGCACCACTACGCCTGGCATATTTACACAAACAGTTTTATCCATGATAGTCAAGAATGGAAACACTCCCATGATCATCACCAATACAAAAGAATACTATTCAACCATAAAAAAGAACAAACAATACTTAAGTGACATGGATGAATCTCAGAATAATTATTCTGGGTGAAAGAAGACAGAAACAAAAGAGTACGTACCACTTATTTCTATCTGATGTTTTAGAAAATGCCAACTTATCCACAATGACAGCAACAAGTCAGTGGTTCCCTGGGGGTTAAAGAATGGAGCGGGGATGGACTGCAAGGGGGTCACGACAACTTTTGGAATTGGTGAAAACATTATGCATCTTGATTGTCCTGTTAATTTCATAGATCTATGCATATTTCAAAACACTTTAAATGAAAGCCATTATGTACATAAATTATACCTCAATAAAGTTGTTTTTAAAAAAGATTGTTCAGTTTACAGCTTTGTGGCATCTCAAGGAACCATGAGGGGCCAGAGAATCCCTTCTGACCTTCAGAATACCTGCTCCCTTTCCCTGTTGTCACTTAACTGGCTTAGAAAATTTTCTTTGGGGGCCCTCCAAGGTCCACCCCTCATTTGTGTGAGTCCTAACTACTCAACTGGCTACTAATACTGTTCTGACAAACTCACTAGTTCCAAATAAATACCTTGATTTCGGTCCTAATTCTGTTTACCACTTTTAGATCCCTCTACCTCCTCCTGAGACATTGAGCTGGTGATTTAAAACATTTTTTCTACTTAATCCAGCTCTCCAAATTCCAAATGCAATCTAATTATAGATATTATGTAAGGACAGCCCGCTTTCCCTTTGGCCGGAATGCATTGATCAAAAGTGAGTGTTCATGATTGTATTGCTTTTCTTAATGGCCTGGATCAAAGGTCAGGAAGGAGATATGCACTTAGGGAGAAAAAGTAGCTTGCAGCACTCGTGGATGACAACAGCCTGTAAGTGGCTGCTTCTTATTTTCAAAGTACAAGACTGATGATTACCAAAATCTGTAAAAACTAAAAAAAGAAAAAAATATCTTTGCCTAAGCTTCTGATCTGGGTAGGAACTTGGTCCAAAAATGACTATAAATATAGATAATCTGCTTTTGTTCCTTATTTCATTTTTTCCTCTTGATTGAAAAACTGAATTATTGGGATAGGAATAGTAGTTCCGTCAACCCTAGAGAGGAGACTTCAGTATGTGGGGTATTTTGATGATACAGAAGAGCCAAAGAAAGGAAGCCTGAGCTTGGAATCTTCATGACACATGAAATCACAGTAGCTGCTTAGTCTCCCTTCCGGACTTCAGTTTCCTCATCCATACAATTTCTAAGATAACTTCAAACTTGTAAATCCTCTTAATTCTTTGACTGTCTCAAAGTATTCTGCTTTCAGTGAGAAAAGACAACTTGGATGTCTGCATTTGGTGACAGTGGGTTAGGTTGGGTAGGAGCTCTGACGCTGTGCTCAGAGGTAAGAGTGGAATCCATAGCCAGACTTCGAAGCACTCACGGTGCCTGCCCTCTTCTAAGCCTGCCTGACAGCTCCTTGTCCATAAGGTTTGGGGTCTCGGTGACACTACCCTGTGACCCCGGCTACAGCTGGTTAGATTGAGGGATTGGTGTTTTAGCCTGATGCACTCCTTAAAGCCTGAATAGAAGTGAGGACAGTGACATGGATGAGACTAGGTTCTCGGGAGAGTTTTTATCTCCACAACAACATAGAATCAGGAGTTCTGTAATATTTGCCCAAGCAGGCCATTTCTCAAATAATTTAATTTGGAGGAAATAATCTCCATCCAGCCCTGGCAGTAGGACTTTAGCAGGTGTCAGGGAAAAGGGATAAGGCCAAAGAGTCCAGGGACAGCATAGCCATTGATGTAGAGAGAAAGTCTTATACTCCAGTCACCAAGACAGCACCCAGACGACATTCAGTTCCAGAAAGCTGGGAGCTGGAAGGATATTTGTTATTCCAAGTGCTCCTTACACAAAGTGACCTCAGAGTTTCAGTGGCTTAAGATCAATGACAACAGAAATGAAAGATCTTTCCATTTCTAACTGAGAAGTTGAAAATATCTATATTTAGCCCACTCTGCTCAGGGACCTGGGTTCTATCCCTGATACCAAAAATGGAAGGAAGGATGAAAGGGAGGAAGGGAGGAAAAGAACAACCTACAGTGTTTCTCCTGGGACTGGCACTGCACCCTCCTCCTCTCTTGTTATCTAGAACTTTGTACTTTTGAGCAGTGTGACTCTGGTCTCACCTATGGAAAGAGGCAGCAGAGGTAGTTAACCCTCACCTACAAGCCGCAGGCCCAGGGGCAGTGGGTATGCAATGGTCCTGTACTTGTGACAGCTCCTCGGGGGCATCTCTGGAAAGCCAGAGGGCTTCCTGGTACTTAGTACCTAGGGTTGTCCAGTGAAATACAGAATATCCAGTTATGGCATGGGAGACACTTACACTAAAAAATCTGAAATTGAAAAATCTAAAATTATCTGAAATTCAAATGTAACCGGGCAGTCTGTATTTTGTTTGCTACGTCTGGCAATCCTGTCAGTGCCACAATGTGGTACAGATGTGAGGTCCGGGGAAGAGAAGGTCTTCGTGCCGGAAATGCAGAAAGGATTCATCGCGCGGAGCTCTGGAGAGCAGCTTTCTGCTCTCCTTTTTGGGTCCTCCAAGCACCTCATGTCTCGAGTCTGCAAACAGATGTCACTGGCACAGCTCTGAGAACAATACTCTGGAAGCGGGCAGATAGTGGTCAGAATTTGTTGGCATTTGTGGATCTCACAACTCTGTAGAAATTAAATTGTTTTTAATCTTTCACAATAGTGAAAATTTAATCATACCCTAGAATGTAATGCAAAAAAAAAGAAAAAATAGTACTCTACCTGAAATAAAAATCTTGCAAATGTAGTTCTGTGTTCTGAGCGTTCTGTAGTCCCAGTCATGCTCCCCAGGCCAAATTCACAGAATTCTGTAATTTGCTCCTGGTTTTCAGAGATCACTGGCTAAAAACACAACTCTAAGATGGAGTTTATAATACCCATTTTGTTATATCTCTTAGGTCATCTTATTTTTATTCAGGCCTTATTCCAGATATGAGATTGCCGGCTGCATCTACCTAGCTGACACCCAATTGCGCACCGTAAAAAATTGTGGCTTTTTATTTCAGCATATTACTAGGCACAGCTTTCTGTCCTCATTGCTTTTCACAAACAACTGCGGCTCTCTGCCCTTTTGTTTTTACTGGGTGAGACAGGCTCATCTTCATGAGAGCTTTGATTTTCTCTGACCTTCTTTTCAGGATGGCAAGTCCTATTTGTGTTAAAACCATTACTCATATATAACAGTGCATTAGTATTAGCTGTAGCCAGCCACCACCCCCTTCCCTTCTGCAGGGAGCAATAAATTGGCAAAGGGCAGGAGGGGAAGGAGCAGCCAATGTGATCCCTACAACCGCAACCCACTGTGCACCTGACCCAAGGCTCTCATGTTGCCTAGGAAGTGAGTGACCTCCCCTAGGGCACCTTGGCCACTTCAGGAAGGAAGAGCAGATTTTAATATGGGGCACAGCTTACGTCATATTTGTTGGTACATCCCAGGGCATCCTGGATTTGTCAGAGGAAAAACCAAGTAAGACCAGAGGGGAAAACGACACAAGATAACAGAATTTTAGAAATCACACACATTGATGAGTACGTGTATATACATTTTTTTCTTTTTGATGGTGGGCAGACAGGGAATCAACACTTAAGGGATTAATAATTTAAATAATAACACAAATGGAAAACGCTGAAATGATAAAAACAAAAATTCCAAAGCGGAGACCTGGGAGAGGGCAGGGCCTGAGTGGTGAGGGGAGCTCCCTTCCTCAGCAGACCTTGCCGAGGCCTGCATTTTCTCCCTGCTACCGGAGGCAGATCTGGGAACCTCCACAGCCGCCCTCTGTGACCTCCTCAGCCCCAGGAGGGGACAGCACAGCCGGTGGCCACTGCCGTTTCTACACTTGCTAAGGAAACAAATGCCCTGCCTGGTGCTCTTGCCTTAAGTATTCTGCGTTCCATTGCTAAAGGTATTTACTTTTTTCATTAGCATTTTTCAGTTCTTTTGTGGAATTCTGTGACAAAAATGAAAAGAATTGTTTTCTTAGCCCAATAAGGACAAGTAGGCAAGTCAGCAGCCTCAGAAGTTCTCAGCAAGAGAGGAACCCGGGTCTTCAGGACCTGATGCTCTTCCGAGACCAGGACTTGGCTTGCATGATTACAAGGACTGTTTGTGGGTGTGCCAGGCTGAGCTGTACTTCCCCAGGTAGGGCACAGGGCCTACTTTGGAAGTGGAGGGGAGGCTGGGAGCTGGGTCTAGAAAGAGCTCAGGGCCTGTTTTCAACAATTACTTCTGCATTTTCAAAAGACAGCTAAACCAGTCAGAAGCCAGGCATCGGAGAGTCTCTGTTGTCTTCCTCAGCGACAGTCCTTCAACTTACTAATGGTGATGAGGAAGCAAGCATTATTTTCCATATTCCCTAATAAGTTGTCAGCAGAATTAGTGGTGCTGCTTTATAATGTATGTCATCTTTCCTGTGCTCACTGAGTTTCCTGGGGCAGGCTGCAGCTGAAGGCTCAGGGCCAGCTGGGCCCATGGCCTTGAACAAAGTGCAAGGCCAGTGTTCTGGAGCCAACTTTCCTTGCACTAACAAACCCTGCACCCCTTGTGCCTTGCCTGAGGAGGGCTGATCCCATCACAGGTAAGGCTCAGTGGGACCCCTCCAGGTAGGGGAGGAACTGGCACTCAGAAGCTTACAAGGTGGACCTCATGCTAAAGAGGCTTAGAATAAGCATTGAGAATCCTCCAACTAAGCTGCAGAAATAAACTTATTTTACACCAGGAAAACTCCCTGCTGATCAGAGCCCGACTCCCTTCCCCTCTCCACCAATAAGGGCTGTAGACAAAAAAAATTTTTTTAAATGATCATGTCATCAAAACTTGCATTCATTCACACTCATCCTATGCTCGATGGTCAATCTGCATGAAAAGCTGGGTCTCTGGTTCTTTGGTGCTGTTTTCCTGTTGTTTTGAAATGGAAGGGGAGACAACAGGAGAAGAGAGGGGAGGACATGGCATGGTAGCAAAGCCCTTAGAATTTAAGTTTAATAGAGGTTTTTTTCAAAAAAGATGCTTGTGTGGTTCTCAAAAACAAAGTGCATGGCAGAAGAGCCGAGGCAGGTGGGACTCTCTCCCCTCCTGCAGACGTGGCTTTCCGAGCACTGTCTCAGAAAGGCCTGTATTCTCCGGGCCTCGCTTCTGGGCACGGTCTGCACTCTGGGCCACATGCTCAGTGGATCCTGTTACTGATGTTTGCTCCTCTGGCTCCTGGGATTGATGCTGCTTGGGACTGTTTGGCTGGGCTCCAGCCCTACTTTGCAGGGACATTGCCT